TTTATGGTTAACGTGGATAAGAAGGCACATTTTGTGGGTAACATGCTTCTCACTGGTTACAAAATGAGCCCAGGCAAGAGAAGATAGCCAGGGCAGCTAGAGCCAGCCTGGTACCTGCCACACTGGGCAAGTGGGGTGGGAAGTGCTCTTGAAGCTCCAAGACTCTAGATCCCATCACTCTGTGGCCAAGAGCCCAGAGAAGGAGCTTCCATTTAGCCTTGGCTGCCCTTGAGCTTCAACTACCAGTGTCCAAGTTGAGGTCCCATGGGGCCCAAGCCTCAGAGGGCTCCATTCTGCCCTCTGTCAGTAACACCTTCCCCATATGGCCAAGGAGAAATCCACTTCCTCCCCACACCTCCTTCTAGATTCTATTCTGTGCAGCCAGACTGTAGCAGTCCTCTATTTCATCTTTATCTTTCCACCCTTGCCTAGTAGATGTTAAGTGCAAGAGCAAATGTAACTTGATTATTGTTTTCTTAGGCTGGCTTCCACTGCACACCCCTCTCAGCTGCAGCAACCTCTTGAGAAATTTCATGTTTAAAGCACCACATTGACTCACCACTTCAGGGCAAAGAAATAGGAAAATTCAAAGTAATGTATGTTGGACTCTGGTGGCTCATGTCCAAGACATGAGGGTAAGGAAGCTGAACTTAGAGGCACCATGGAGCCCATGCACCTAGTGTGGCACCACAACTGGCAACTGCATTTGACTGACAAGGCTGAAGAAGAGCTTAGTTTATGCTTTCCATACCAGGTGGGTCAGAAGGCTTAATCAAAAGTCCATGTTATGTCTCCAAAAGCACTCTCACTACACAGAAGTGACTGGCTCTAAGGAAGCTGGTCTGATCACCACTGATTTACCAATGAGAAGGACTTATGGGTACCTTGTTCAAGACCACATTGTTAGGAAATGGAAATGGTGGAAGGCATGATGGTAACATGGATGTGTCCCTTCCCCAATGCTGAACCTATGTTCCTTGCTCTCCAAATACCTTCCTGTTCTAAGTAGTTCTGATTTTGTATGTTCTCTAATATATTTTTATAGAAGGACTAAACTTTTTTAGAAATTAGAGAGCAGGAATAAAAATAGGATTCCTAATGGGATAAATGAAATAATGAAACACGATTTAGGAAAGGTCTAGCCCCAAGTCAGACCAGCAAGTCATCCGTACTCATCCAGCTGAGAAGGATTTCCCCAGAGATGGAGCATGATGTTGGCAGAAGTATTTTATACTATCTGTATTTTCTACAATGAGAAAGTAATACCTTATTTTTTAAAGTAATGTTCACTGACATTACATAAATATGTTTTATGTTAGAACATTCAACACTCTAATGCTCCTTTCTTACCTCTCCCTGCCCCATTCCAAACTCCTCTGTAGAGGAAACCTCAGTTAGAAGTTTAATACGAATTCCTTAGGCCTTCACTGTCTTATATGGAAGTTACTACACACAGGTGGTTATTGAGAGCTTGAAATAACCTAGTTGAGCTGTGATGTGCTATAAGCATAAAATACATACAACATTTTCAGTAGAGGTAAAGCATAGATTTTGTATCAATTACATGTGGAAATGAAAATTATGGAGACAGTTACAGAGCGGTGGTTGTCAGGGACCTAGGTGGTAGGAGAAAAGGCATGAATATGTAGAGCAGAGGCTTTTTTGGGCAGTGAAACCATTCTGTGTGACAGTTTAGTAGTGAACGTATGTCATACATGGTCCAAACCTATGGAACACAAAGCATCCAGGAGGAAACCCACTGTAGACATGGACATTGGGTGATAGTGACACATCAGTGGAGGTTCACCAACTGTACCAGATATACTGCAAATGCCCATCTATCTGCTGGGGCATGCTTATCACTGGGAAAGTAATGTGCATGCAGACAAAAGCTTTTATGAGAAATTTCTGTACTTTTAAAAATTTTTCTGTGATCTAAACTTGTTCTAAAAGAGTCTAAAAGAAAAAAAAAAGCATTTTGGATACTATGGGTTAATGAAAATATTTTGAAATTAATTTGACCTGTTTTACTTTTTTTTGTACTTTAGAACAGTGTATACAGAGTGTACAGGGTCTCATTGTGTAGATCGGACTCGTGACCCTCCTGTTTACAGCCTCCCAAGTGCTGGGATTACAGGCCTGTGCCACCAGGCTCAGTCTCAAATGCCTTTCAGTGTGCCCCAGTGGCGGGGCTGGCATGGCAGGCCCAGGGAGAAAACTCCCAGCTCCTGCAGCTGCCTAAGCAGGCGCTTAATCCGCTGAGCTATTTGGCTAGCTCTTTGTTTCACTTTTTAAACCTGCTTTCTAGTTGGGCATGGGACACATGTCTGTAATCCCAGTTCTTGGGAGGCTAAAACAGGAGGATTGTGCTACCTTCAGGCCAGGCTGAGATAAATAGTGAATTCAAACCCAATAGTGAGCTACAGAGCAAGACCTTGTCTCCAAAAAATCACCCACAAATAAATTAAAAAGTAAATAAATAAACATAGCTACTAGAAAATGTGACTCATATTGTTTCTCTGGAACCAGCACTGCTCTAAAATATAATTTTTTTTGCGTTTGCACACTTACATAGATAGATAGATAGATAGATAGATAGATAGATAGATAGATAGATAGATATTGGCTTTTTGTGTTTTCTAAAATAAATACATTTCTTTTATAATTGAATAAAAATATTATAAGAAGGAAATGTAGTCCTTAAATGGAATGGCCATTACATTAATGACGATATTCCTCTTTTCCTTCTTCCTCCTCAATTTCTTTCTTTTTTATACTTTCAACCTACAAAGCCTTAGATTGAAGGAAACAATTACTCTTGGCCATGTGAAGGCTGAAATGAGTGTGCCTAATTCTTGAGTTAAATCACACAGGTACAGATTAACAAGAGGGTATTCTTTTGTTGGGTAAAAACAAGCACCAGCCAGTGGAGAAAGGCTTTAGTGTTAATGACACCTGGGCAAAAGACTTCTTGAACAGCGGCAAAAATGACCATTCTCAGATCCAGATTTTTTTTTTTTGTGGTACCAGGTATTGAACTCAGGACCTTGCACTTGCCAGGCAGGCACTTATTCTACTGAGCTATCTCCCCAGCCCTAGATCCAGATTTGTTATTCTTATCTTGTTATCTCTTTCTCAGACTTTTCTCTTGTAATAGAGTAGTTTATTGCAGATATATTGAAATATTTTTATAATATTTTTATAGCTAAGAGTTTATTCTAAGCCAGTATCTGACAATTTCCCATTCAGTGAATTCTACAAAAGAAATGACCCCACACAAGCTCCCTTTATTGTCCACTTGAAAATGGCTTGAAGTCTGCAGACGGTTTGCACACACTGTACTTGTGTAAATGGAACAGCAGCGTGCACACATGCAGCGCGTTCTCGAGGTGGCCTGCACGCTATTTGCAACATTCTAGCATGGTGTGAGCGCATGCGACATTACCAGTACTTACGTGAATTCTACCGAACCTCCTTCGGGGCAAAGGAGAGAAAAAGAACACTGAGCGAGCAAAACTAACTGTTTACATTCCTGAGAGATTTTGCTGGTGCTCTGACCTACTCCATGTCCCTTTGGTGGCATGCTACTAAGAACCCGCAACTGAAGACCTTATTCCTTTGCCACTCCTGGCTTGACACATGCTTCCCAGTGGGTAAAAGGAGGCAGTGGGTGCAGCAACATTTTCTCCTAGCTTGTCATTCTCCCACTTAAACCATATATTCCTGGGACAGACTCTATGGAAACTTTTCAATGTTCCATATTGATAGGACATTTGAAGCATATTTTTTCTTTTTATTTCTTTTCTCCCACCCTCACTATATTTTCCCTCACTCAAGAAACATGAGTGGGGAGAGAGAGAGAGAGAGAGAGAGAGAGAGAGAGAGAGAGAGAGAGAGAGAGAGAGAGAGAATCAATAAATGCTAGAGGTACATAGAGGTTTGTCAACTTCCTCTGAGGTTGAAATAACACTTGAAACTTTTTTAAAAAATCCTTGAATTAGGACTGACTTCTTCTGAAAAGATACCATCTGCTGTGGCAGCCCAACCGGGCCCCAACTTTCCCCATCCTAGGTCTTGGCAGCTACAGGTAAGGAAGGCCCCTTCCTTCCCCACTGCCCCTGCCCAAGAAGCTGTCAGGAAGCTTTCAAGCAGTATCAGCAGGCAGGAAGTGGGGTAGGGTAAGGGGGTCTCCACCCATTAGCAGCTGCTTAAATAGCTGGCAGGAGAACTTTTCTACAGAAAAATGCAGGTGAGTAATACTCTACACCGATTTACACCACATGCTATCCAGTTGTGTAATTAAGTTAAAATGCTAAGAAAAGACTTGGAATGCCAACCTGTTTGCTTTGTCCCTACCTTGTGCTTGGCACCCAGAATAAGATAAGAACAGTTGGACTTGGCAGTTTAAAGGGAATTATTAGGCAACTAGAAGGAAGTGAAGGCAGCGTAGACCAAGGGAAGCTGTCTGCATGGAACATCACGTACCAATGACTGCATGTCAGGATTCATCGTTGTCCACAGGGTGACATCTACACAGGATTAGTAACTTGCTCATTCACATTTTACCCAAAGACAATTTGGACCGATTATCAACATCTTTGGGGGAGGGTGGTGGGCCAAGTAGGAAAAGGAGTGAGGTAATTTTAAAACCTGACTTCATATTTAAAGCACAGTAATAATATCACCTCAGTGACTTCGCTGCAGTCTGTTCTGTGCAGTGTGAGAGAGGTTTTGCCAAACTCCATAAAAAATTGCCAAATATGTCATTATAGATCATACTGGAACTGTAAGATAAAAATGTATAAAGATGTGTTTGTCCAAAAGATTGCAGTGCATTTTTGTTAACACTTTCCTTACAGCAGTTGACTTTTGTAAAGCTACTTTCAACACTGATTTGCTATGCTTTAACAACTGGGTAAGGGCTGAGTTCTTAGTATTATTTGTATACTTAAGAATACCTTTTACATTCCCTTACCAGTAGGAAAACGTTAAATGGTTACCTCTGTGAATGCGTTCCGATTGGCTTGCAGGCCAACTTTTACCACCTCAAAAGGGTTAATCACGATGGCCTCTGTGAGTCCAGATCCCAATCCAGCAAGGGTAAAGGTCTAGAAAAATTATATCAATCAGTACCTTAAAACACATGATGGTGCATATTGGATTAAGCAAACTATTCATTACACCGTGAGACAGAATGCTACATTAAGAATAGAGAAGGCTTCGTAAGTGTACTGCATACCATTACTACACAGCTTCGGTTCGCAATTAGACGCTGACAATTCGAGAAGAAGAAATTACAGAAGCCATAAACCACATCCTAACAATTTCAAAATAAGATGTCAAAGCCCCCTAAAGGATAACGTTTTCCTTTAACAAAAGACAGGGTGGTTTTACTGGTTCAAGGTAGATTCTACAACATCTGCAACAGGATCATTAAGAGTGTACATCTTAAACTGAGAGACTCATTTTAAAGCTCTCTTCAAAATGCATTTACTGAGCATATAAAGAAATTCAAGGAACAGAATCACAAATATGTAAGTATATATATATTATATATATATATTTTTCAGATGCATAAAGTCTTGCTATATTGACACTTCTAAAACCAAAGGACAGAATGTTCTTTTTTTTTAAAGAATACAAAATAGTAAAAAAAAAAAAAGCATTAGAAACAATATAAAATTTCGTTGAATTAAGTAATAGGAACGTAACAGTGGTCGCTATAATGCATGATGTTATTTTCAAGTTAGTCGTTTAGGTTACCAGATATAAACCTGAAAAATTTGTTCAAAAATCCCCCAAAACAACAAAAATGTTATAAGAAATTAAAAAGAAAAAATGAGAATAAAAAGAAAAAACTTTAAGCATTAACTGTTCCTTTCAAAAGACCAGCGGAAGTCAGTAATATAGTACAATTGTGCAAAGTATCCTGCATATATTCATAAATACAGCTTTTCCCCTTTCTTTTGTCCTTTTCCTCATCCCATAAATACATTTTTAAAAAGTTAAATTTCAGGTATTAAAATCGGCATCGCTACACACATTCAAAATAGACTATTAGGTTATCATGTCTGCATCTTGTAGTAGGAATACTATGAAGACAATAATATGAATGTATAAATTATTGTAACTGTCCTACTAACCTGTTTTGAAGCTATCTCATTGCTATTTGTTTCTCAATAAAATTAATTAAAAGTGAATATACGCATAGAAACAGTTGGGGGAGAGGATGGAAAAGGAAGAAGATGGAAAGGTAATGGGATGAAAATAATCAAAATGTGTGATATACACGTACCAATGTACCAAAATAAATCTCATTATTTCATTCCACTAACTTGCACCAATAAAAAACTAAATTTCAAAAAAAAAAAAAAACTCCCAACAAAATAGTCTCGAGCCACTATTCAAACTATTAGTAAAGAAAAATTAATTTTGACTTATTATTTGCTTAAAGAAACACAATTGCACTATTTCAGGACTTAAATGCTGACGGACAAAAGGCGAGATAAGAAATGGTTAGGTTGTTCTGAAGAGCTCAGTTAAAATCTAAGAGATTTATCAAAAGATGACTGTATGTCAGCTTCTTATTAGCTGCCAGTTAAGAATTTCAGCAGAAGGCAATAATAATTTTATAGAATTATCTTTTCAGTAAAATGTTCCAGAAAATCTGTACCCAAAATAACCATCACACACACACACACACACACACACACACACACACACACGCACGCGCGCGCGCGCACACACACACACACACACACACACACGGCTGAAAACAAAATAAGGCAAAGTCTCCAGTTTCCAAACCGGACACTGGGAAAAAGTATTTTTTTTTTCTGTTGATAATGTAATTGCAGGAGTAGAGTGTCTCCTGTATACAGTGAGGAGAAGAGTTAGACCAATGAAGATGAAAGAACGGATAAATCCTTCTGAGAGTTTCTAGTATCTCCAAAATAGGCGATGAAAAGAGAGAAGGGGAAAGGGTGCTCCATAACCTCAAGAGATCACGTGAGGTGGAATAAAGGGAGGATCCAGCTCTGAGAGGCGTGAGCGTAGGTCCTCGTGCTCTGCTGCCTGGCTTTCTCATCGGAGCTGCCATGGACAGTGGTGTACACGGACACACACGCTCGTCCAGGGTGCGTGGGCTGGAGCCTGCGCCCCACTTGCCAAGGCAGAACCCTGGCGAGCAGCAGCGGGAGAAGGGGGCGCCTTCTCATAATTCCCTTGCTGGGCTGTGTAAACATCACCGAGTGTTTGATAGGCCAGTGTGTTCTCATCAGTAAAATAAAAATATTTGATTTTTGTACTTCTGATTTTTTACAAGGGTCAAAGTAATGTATGAAAGCTCTGTGGAAGTGGTTTCCAAGCACCATTGGTCTTGTTGCCCACAGAAAGAGAAGAAAGAGTGGTATTGCATACAGATTCTCAGGGAGAAGGAATAACTGTTGATGCATGTTTTCCTTTTAACCCACTTCATTACAATTTTAAGCATAATTTGTAGAGGATAATTAATCAGACATATTATTCATTTATCTCAGACTTCCATCACGGAAGACAAAAGCAGAAAAAACAATCTAGGTCCTCGGCTCTCCTGACTGGGAAAGCTAAAATCCAGATGTTCAGGTTTTTATTACTTACTCTATGCAATCTTCCAAGTAATTCACTTTTTTGTTTTTCTATAAAGCTCAGCTACGTATGCTGTCAGAACCAGTGTTCAGCAGTCCCTTGTCAAAAGAATTGATCAGCTATCAGCAGATCATGTTACTCAGGCTGTTGCAGACAGACTTTACTGCTGGGTTTCCAGTCTCCTACGCTTTTCATGTGAACACCAGGGCATATTTAATGGCTAAGTACAAAAAAATCAGTTCAAGAATAAGCGAAAAACTCTATAGAGACTGCATGCGTTCGGGTATAGTAGCAAGACAAGTCCAGTGCTTTTCTGCTTCAGCTTCAAGAGTCCAGAGACCTGCAGCCTGTCTCACATGGCACAACGTTCAGCACAAGCACAGCCAGATGGCCCCCTGGATACCATATTTTACTGTTTTTCACTAGGAAGTTTTTAATCTTCCTTGTTCTAAGATGTTTCCAAATTTAAGGACGATATTAAAGGAAGACACTATGGAATTAAGAACAAAAACCTCAACATAATTGTGAGATTCAGGGTAGAGCTGCTCTTTTCTAAGCAAGCATGCCTCATTGTTTACAGGAGGCTGCCCAGGAGATCTCTTTATCATAGCAGAAAGCGATAGCATCAGGGTTCTTAACAGTATCTTTTCTAGAGAAGGAGGATGCATGGTTTTAAAAAAAATAACAATTTGGGACCATCTACTTGGCAGGTAAGTCTTCTGAAGTGAGTATTTACAAGTAAAGTTCTGATGGCCCCAGTGGTTCAACCTACAAGTTTTACTTTATGATGCTGCTGAATTACCACACATTTCACTCTTTGAATTTTGAATTTTTGTCTTTTCCCAGGCTAGCTCTATATCACACCATCCTAGCTCTCATGACCAGTAATGGCAGTGAGTCACAGCTTCCAGTCACTCTGCCACCAGGCGGGTAAACCAAGATACTCTACTGTTGCTAAGTGGTGGCAGTTGGCAGATACAGGGTGGTAGCTGCACGTTTGACTTACTGTATTTTCAGTGTATGGTGGGTTTATCAGATAAAACTCCATTATAAATCAAGAAACATGAAAGGGTTAGAACTCAGAGCATTGGCTCACTATGAGTTTTGAGGTACATTTCAGGGGGAAAATGAAGATTTTCCCAAAGGTAGGAGGATAACCTGCCAATTGGAGCAAGAATACACTTTGCCTTGTTTTCTTTTACAGATTTGTAGAAGAAAGTAATAGTTTTTCTCTCTTTGAAGATCTTTTTTTTTTTTTTTTTTTAATACCAGTGATCAAACTCAGGACCCTGCACTTGCCAGGCAGGAGTTTATGCCACTGAGCTGTCTCCCTGGTCCTCTGAACCTCCACCTTCAGCTCACACAATATGACTCACTTTATGATAGACAGCAAAGTCACCAAAGAGAGGAGAGGCATAGGGAGGGGTCTACATCCCCAGGTGAGTTTCGTGTAATATTTGAGCTATTGTAAAGACACTATTCTCCCCGGCTGAGTTGTTTACAATTGTTCCTATAAAAGGCCCTTCAGTCTGCGCCTGACCACAGAGTGATTTTATCCCAAGTGACTTGAAGTCTTTATTTACTGTAGCTTGAGCCACAGCTGGAAAAGTGACCTGTTAGGAAATAATCTCAAGCATAGTGGCTTTGGCATGAGTAGATATATGCAGCGTGTATGTAAACACATGCATGTTTTGGTTTTAAGAGCATCTTTGACAAATGTACTCTTTATTTTACATTCTTGACCATATCTCATATGGGGCTTTCCAGACGTATTGTTATTATCGTAAATTTATCACTGGGAGCTATAAAATAGGCAAATTGTGAGTTATTAGGAAGATGGCTTTCAACAAGTAGCTGAACATTGAATAACTCAAATTCATATTTTAGTAGCTCAGCTTGGGGAATCAAAAGAGTTTTTGTTTCTCAATTTTGCTTTATGAAATAACACACACACTTAAGTATAATAAATACTTTCACTTACCAATCCTGGTGACAGTGACACATATCCTAGCAATTTCTTGTACTGTTCAAAGGTGAAAAACTGTAAAACAAAACCAAACCCAGAGATTTATAACAATTTCCTGCAACAAACTCTTTAATTGACTAAGATTTCTTTAGTAAGCCACATATTAACCAACATTTAAAAAAAATAATAAGCCATCTAACACTGTGATAAACTCTGTCTTGGGTAGTTGCTTTTGGATCTTATTTTAACATTCACATTTTTCAAATTCAGCTATAATAACCTACAGAAGAGCTGATGGAATCCTTTATAGCAGTAAATGAACCATACAACTTCCATTTACCATGACCATTTTCAGTTTCCCCAGACATCAATAGACTTCTTTTTTATGGCAATGATTCAAAAATTATAGGCACAGAGACCTCAAATCTTTGGTCTTCTATGTTTTCTCTATGGACTGCTCTCGCAGAAAATGCCCAATTTTCTAACACACTTGTAAAAGACATCCATTTCTCAGCTTTAACTTGCCTTTATATTGCTGTGTCTCCTCACTCTTCCATAGAATTCAAGCATTAAATGGTTTGATGGTGCCATAATAAGGCAGGAAAAGAACCAGAGAAGTTATCTAGTCCACCCCTTACCTTGAAGCAAGATTATCCCTGACCTGAATCGAGAGAGAGAGAGAGAGAGAGAGAGAGAGAGAGAGAGAGAGAGAGAGAGAGCTGCTCACTCCTTCCTGTAAAATCTGATGACAACCCGGATGACAAAGGTGCTGTTAATGCCACCAGAAGATGTTTTCAGTGTTGGTAGGTTTGCAACACATAATAATTACATTCATCTTGGAGAATAGGTACATATTCATAGGCATCTTGATCATTTTTACCTCCATCCTGTACTCTCCTCTCCTTTACTCTTCGCTAGATCCCCTTCCCATCTCCACAAAGCCTGTCTCCTTGTTTCCTTATCATTTTCTTTTATTTTGTTCCTTAATATTTTTATTTTGTGTTTCTCATATCACTGAAACTGTGCTATATTTATCCACTTTGAATTTATCTCACTTAACATTATAACCTTGAAATCCATTTTCCTACAAATGACTCCATTTATATCTAATGGTTGAGTAGTACTCCATTATATACCACATTTATATATGACTATCTATCTACCTCTTTCACACACACACATTTTCCTTATCCATTCATCTATTAGTGGGCATATAGGCCACTTTATAGGCCACTTCCATAATCCAGCTGTCATAAGTTGTGCTGGTATAAACATGGATAGATATGTATAACCTCTATAGAATAAGGCCTTTAACTCTTTTTAGAAGACACCCTGCAAAGGAATAAGGGGGTCAATTGAATTCGTATTTTTAGTTAGTTTTTTTGTTTTTTTTTTGAGGAATCTCCACATTGATTCCCATAGTAGTTGCACTAGTTTACCCTCTCACCAACAGTGCAGAAGGGTTCCTCTTTCCTCTTCGTCTCACCAACATTTGTTGTGTTTTGAGTCTTTCATGACAGTAATTCTTCCTGGGGTAAGACGGAATCTCACCATGGTTTCAAATTGCATTTCTCTAATGGCTGAAGATGCTGACCATTAGTATTTCTTCTTATAAGAAGTGTCCATTCATTTAAATTGCCCGTTTTCATGAGTCTTTTATTTCAGGGGAGGTCTAAGTTTTTAAGTTTTTTATAGTCTAGATATCAGTCCTCTGTTCAGTGAGTGGCTGGTAATTGTTTTTCCATTCTGTAGCTGTCTCTTCACATTGTTGGTAGCTTTCTTTGCTGTGTAGAAGTTTTTTAATTTGATACAGTCCCATTTGTTTATTCCTGTTATGCTTTGTGCTCAATTGGTGAACTTTCTCCGAAGAAAGTTCTTGCCTATGCCAATGTCTTTAAGAGTTTTACATATTTTATAGAAGATTATACTTAATATTATACTTAATTTCTGGGCAAATCTCCATGGAGGCTAATCTAATTATTTACTTTATATAATAGATTTCCTCTTCTCTTTCTATATTCAAGATTTTGGGAAACAACTCCACTTGAAAATTATTTTTGCTGTGTATTACTTGTTGGGTATATCACTGATATGGCACAGGCTTAGGGTCTGCTAAGTAAGATTCTCAAGACCAAAGGAATGGCTTGGGAAAACAGAAGTCTTCTACTGTATTACTTTAAATCCAGTCAAATAAGGTGAAAAAATAAGTACAAGTTTTAAGGCCAAATAATACTCTAATATTAAAAATAGTTTCGGGCTTGGGAGATAGCTTGGTGCTTTAAGCGCTTACCTGGCAGGCACAAAGACCCAGGTTTGATCCCCAGTACCATGTCATTCTGACACACTGTGCCAGCCACTAAAACCAGGTGTGGTGGTGCATGCCTCTAAGCCCAGCACTGGGGAGGCTGAAACAGGAGAATCACTACGAGTCTGAGCTGTGTAGGGAGACCCTGTACCAAATAAATACAATAGTTTTTTTTTTAATTTTTCATCCATTTCTTTCTTTTTTATCAAATAAATAAAAAAATAAATAAATAAAATAGGTAGTTCCCTGTAGACATGGCCTTAAGGTATCACTGGATAACACATGAAACATTAAACCACCAGAAGGATTTTGGATTTTTTTTTTTTTAAAGAACCAGAAATTCCCTTTCTCACTGTCATCTTTTATTTTATTTTATTTTTTTTATAATATTTTTTATTTATTTATTTTTGTGTGTGTGGCCAGCTCAGCCCACCAGGGGGCGGGGCTGGCTGGCATGTGGTGCTGGGGGATTGAACCGCAGTCCCTGTGTTTTGCTTAGTTTAGCTTGTTCTAAGTAGGTGCTTTAGACCACTGAGCCATCTCACCAGCCCCCATCTTTTAGATTAACTGGGGATGTAGACTTTTCTAGAAGAGAGACCTGTTTATTCATTTGTATAATAAGTGTTCATTAGATGGTTTTCATCTAGGCCCTGGAATGCAACAAAGCAGAAACCCTGACTTCTTGATTCCACACTCTTGGGAATGGCGAAAAGTTCTGATGAGATACACGCTAGAAGCTACAAATAAAAATTTACAGGGTTTTTTTTTTTTTTTTGCTATTTTTAAATTTTTGTTGTTGCTGTTGTTTTTGTAATAGAGATTAGACCCAGGGCTTCTGCACTGAGCTACATCTTCAGACCTTCTTCTTTTTTTTTTTTTCAAAGTTTTATTGATAAACAGATAGCAATGAGACAGTTTCAAATCAAATCGGAAGTACAGTTTCAACAAATAATACATTGCATATATTCTTCTTAGTGGTTAATTGCTGTACAAGATGCGGACTTGAGATCCTATTTACAAACACTATTAGAACAAATCATTCTATTCATTAACAGAATGTAACTATATATCTATCCCAACCACTTTGAATACACAGATACAAAATGGACATTCATCTGTATACCCCATTTGTTCTAAGTTCCATTATTGAATATTATAGGTGTGTAAACTCAGCAAAATATTCTAAAAGAGTCCAGTAGCCCATAATAGCATTGGGTCTTCTGTTTAACTGGCAATGTCAGAAATTATTGACCTGAGTCCCCCACAGCTCTACATAACAACATGGCTTTACTTCCTATATTTCGTCTTCATACTTTTCTACTGGATGGTTAAGACCAAGGTAAAGCAGAACCTATGCAACAAGAGTTGTAGCTTTTTGCTTCAGACCTTCTTTTACATTTTGAGATAAAGTCTTCCTAAATTGTTAAATTGCCTATGTTGGTCTTCAACTTGTGGTTTGCCTGCCTTAGCCTCCTGGAGTGCCGGGCTTGCAAGCATGCACTGCTACACCGAGCCTTTATATTGCTCAGCGGTCTTCACTGCAAGCCTCGGGTGAGTGATTAGGGTGCAATGACTCAGGGTTCTGAAACAGAGAAGCCCTCCAGGTCACCGTGATTCATTGTTCATGTGTTAAACTCAAAAACGGTGAATGATATATTAGAACATGTTCGGTTAAACAATGCTTAGACTTACATCTTATTTTAATTTCTATTTTTGCGTAAAAATCTATTTGAATATCAAATAAAACAGTATCTCAAAAATATAAAAGTTAGAATATTCTAAAATGGATTTTCAACAATAGTGAAATAAGACAAATGTCATTAAATTTGAAATCAATAGTTATTAAAAACATTCACTTAAAAAATTCACTTAACACATTTTGTGTTATATGTCTATCATGTTTAAAGCTTAGAAGACTATGCTGGAATTATATCCTTAAACTCTAATGGCTAGTATCATTCTTCTTCATACAATGATGTTCTTTTATGGGCTTCTATAGTACTTATTTATTTGTTTTCGTTTTTGTTTTTTTGTGGTACTGGGGATTGAACTCAGGACCCTGCGCTTGCCAGGCAAGTGTTTATTCTACTGGGCTATCTCCCCGGGCTCCATAGTATTTCTTAATAATTCCTCAGCCACAGCATTAAGTTAACTTAGAAATTGGAAAAAAAGGATCTGTCATATAAGATATGAGGTTACACTTTAAGGATAAAATTCAGAACATCAACATAAAAGTTACTTTTGAAGTCAGGAGATCTTAATTCAGCCATATTCAGTCAATGTTTTGGGAAAATTGAGCATAAAATCTGAGTATAGATTAACTATGCTATGTCTTAGTTATACAGGTATCTAGAGATTGGTAATCTGGCTGGATTTAATGGACAAGGGTGGGAAGGCAGGGGACGTGGCTGCACTCTGCTTGGCTGATGCTATTCTCGCTTTTCCTTTACCCTATACCCAGTAACCAATCTGGCGATCAACATGATGTCCATGATACTCTGTTCTGGGATGCCATTTGCCAGTTGAACAAGGAGAGCTTAAACAACGGCTCCAACTAGGGCTAATTCATCCCCACGCCCGAGGGAGGACTTGCTGAGCACTGCTCACAATGCCCACTGAGTTCTGAGGTTTTCCTGGTGGGCCGATGGGTACAGCCACTATTTTCAGCCCTGTGTGACTGCAAGGCACTGTCTCCCTGCTCTTCCTGGATGGTTCCTTACCAGGCTTTCTTCATTCTCCTTGGTTAGTAGCCCACCAAATACTTGAGGGGTCTCTGCAGATCTCAGGCGTCCTCTCCACGCAGCTTACTCTGCCCTGCTACTCAGGCCTGGGAACTCTGTCCTAGCTCCTTCTCTCTCCAGGGAGTCCACTGGCTCTGCCTTTGCCTTACCATCTAGAAAACATTCCCAAGCTGAGAACCTACATGGCTACCTCATTTGTTTCTCATCTCCCAGGAATTATTTCTCTTTACTGTCTGATGTTTACTTTTCTTCCTGTTTCTTCTCTATATATGCTTCATTTATCCAGTTGGACACCTACTATGTGTAGACACAATAGCAAATGTAGGTATACAGTAGTGAACAAATAGCCTTCCTGGTTTATCATCTATCATGAGTTTGGTTAGCATAAGGCAGCTCTTGATAATTGGAATGCGGCAAAACGGTATTTCTAGACACATGAGGCTCAAGAGTAGGCCCCAGAACCTGGTTCCTTCTGCCTAGCAGGACTGTAGGGCTCTTTGTTAGGTCTTTATTTCACTAATCACAATACTAATTCTGTCTTGATGTGTAAAAGAAGTTTCATCATTTATTTAGCATTGATGAGTCTTATTATTGGAACAATTAATCTGATTTTGAAGAATAAAGTACAAATCTAACACTGTCTGTTTTGAATTATGGTAACCGTCAAAATCAAAGGTCCACACCAACAAATACACAACACACAGCCCTATATACACCCGTGCATGCATACAAACACAACCTCAGGATTTTTTTTTTTCTGAAGTAAACTTTGATGACCGTGGAACAGTTTATGATATATGAAATCAATCAGGTGATTGCTTTACTCACAATCTTAAGATAAATAACTATAAAATGAACGTTTTTCTACATTGTGTTGAAAAACTAGTGCTATCCATCTGGCAAAGATACACTTAACTTTAAGTTGTACTTAAAAAAGGCAACATACTTACCATATGTCTCAATAATTTTAAGGTAAAATCTACTTGAAACAAGATGTCTGGGACTCACACACCAGATCCAGTTGTCCAGAAGTTCATCTGTTAACCATTGCTCTGGCACAGAGCACTGCCTTTTTTTCTTTTCTTTTCTTTTTCTTTTTTTTCTTTTTTTTTTTTTTTGGTACAGACTGACTTAGCTTTGTAAAGTTCAACTTTTTTTTTCTGCACCAGATTCTTCAATTTTGATAAACCTTAATCTTCTTATAGTTTAAATTGTATCCAATAGGTAGTATTCAGAAAAACATATTCCAGGAAAAACTAATTATAATTTACTTGATTTATACATGTAAAACACCAAGCACATGAATGTATTAGTCTACGGAGAGGCAAAGTGGTTTTCCTTTTGAACAAGAGCTGGGTTGTGTTTGTTTACTCAGGCAATCTTTTATCAAGTGAGGCCATTTCATAATTCAATTCAGCCCTTTTGTGTACTGCGGTGAACTTTTCCCAGATTCTCTACAGTGATCCAGATCCTTATAATGAAGTCTGTATTGAAGTAATAATATAAAATTTATAAAAAACTTGTAAGAGAGAGAGAGAGAGAGAGAGAGAGAGAGAGAGAGAGAGAGAGAGATTTATCGAGAAAGTATGTTTTAAAGGTTTGCATTCTGAACTCTAGGCCTGAATTACATTCTATTAAATTACTATTTAGATGTAATGTAAAAAGTTGGTGTTTGTGTGTACATGTTGGTTATTTCAACATAATTTTCAACCCAGTCCCTCCTGCCTGCCCCTGACTTATTCGGTAAAAGTATTCAAGCTGTTCCTTCTTGCCCCTTAGGAATATTGGGAATATAAATTGAGTAATATATATATATATATATATATATATATATATATATATATATATGAAAAAGGCTTTATGTCATTATAACATGACAGAAAGTTGGACAGGAAGTCATCGAGTCTGTTATTTTTATATAAAGTCTAAGCTATATTTGGTGCTGTCAGCATCGAGGACCAGGGGGCAAGGCCAGTGAGACTCGCTGTGGTCAGGATTTTTGTTTGAGAACATCCGAGACCTCTGCAGATGCAGCTCCTCCATGTGTGAAGCTCTGGCCCATCTCCCTAGTCCTTTACAGACACTAACCAGCAAGGAATACATAAGCCTCCACAGTTATGTGGTTAAAGAAAAGGAAATCAGGACGGTGGAAATAATAATCCTGAGAGCACCAAACAGAGAATTTTAAAATAGGAGACTAGAGGAAAATGAAGTTCACAGGCCCCCCAAAATGCTATACAGTACACATATACAAGAAATCTAGTGTACTTCATAAAATGGGAGTAATTTACGAAGGGAGGTTTTTCTACTTCTCCTCTTTAACAAGTATTGTTCCAAAGGAAAATTTCTGAATTGCTTTGAGAAAAGGTCCAAGCTATTTTGTGGCTTCTGCGGTTTGATTACATGCATTTCATTCACCACTGTGCTTTTGTATAATTTCCTCATTAAAAGGGACTACTTTTACCTGAAAAAAACTCTACAAACCAGTATACATATTTGAGAGATTAGCCAAACGTTTTTTTTTTAATTTGTGGGTACCAGGGATTGAACACAGGATCTTACGCTTGCCAGGCAAGAGCTTATTCCACTGACTTATCTCCCCAGACCCTGCCAAATCTTGATTACAATAAAAATTATGCTGTAATTTCTGCATTACAAGTTCTAGTGTTTCGTGTTGGAGTCACCTTAGTGTCCCCTTGTTTACTGGGGGTTGTATTTTAATGTTAAAGCCGTCATTGCACCTTATTTTCCCCTGGTGAGAAGGCCTGCAGTTCTTACCTTTACTGCTCTTTTAGGAGTTTCTGCTAAGATGGGTGGCAGAATTCCCTTGTAAAAGCCAAACAACCTGTTGGAGCAATGAAAAATTTTGTGTAAGTAAGAAAATTGGAAAACAAGTAATTCTGCTTTTGTATATAGACGGAGCAACTAATCCTAAAGTTTTCCCAATTATCCAATGTGCCACAGTGATCATGAAGGTTTCCTTTAATCCTAAAGATATAAATTCTTTATTTATTTAAATTTGAAAAACATTTACTTACTTATTTGTTATAGAGTCTTGCTATGTGGTTCAGACTCATAGTGATCCTCCTGTCTCAGCCTCCCCAGCACTGGGATTACAGGTGTGCACCACCATGCCCAGCTTCAGTGGTCAGTAAGGGGGCATGGCATGTGGTACTGGGGATCAAACTTGGGTCCTTGCACTTGCCATGCAGGCACTTAGACTGCTGAGCTATCTCACCAGTCCTAAATTCTTTATTTATTAATGTGATATTCCGAAGAGGAATAAGTGGTACTCAGACTGGGATCTTCTTGGTTACTTGCTAAATATAAACATCATATAGATGAAGCTAAGCTTTCTTGCTCTAATGAATCTTGACTTTATTTCCTAAATTACGTGATGCAGTTTTAATCTACATAAAGTCTTACATGTCTTCTCTTTTGTTAACCAAATAAAGTTACGTGAACTCACTAGACTGAAGCTTTTTGAGGCTACCAAAGTGACAAAGTCTAATGTGGTGACTTGCTTTTCTGATATGCACCTTCAGTGAAGGTAGCAAAGAGCTTTTCTTATAGCTTCTAACCTGGTAGCTCCTGGAAGGTAGGGTTCTGTCTGGGGCTCTTATTCTAGAGTCCTTTATTTATATGTACAACGAAATAAGATCTTTAAATATATTAAGTGTTTCATAATGACCAAGGAAGAAATAAAATTATCCCCTGATATGGACTTAGTCTTCCCATTATTTTTGACTTCTTGGAGCAAGCTAATATTTTGATAGGAATTAAAGCACACTGGTGATTTGAAGAGTTATAGGAATGCATGGATTGCCTCAACCGCACTGCCACTCTAAATTTTAACGACTGATGCCTCACATTCTCACATAAGCACTTATTTCCTCCAGAAATTGTAAAATTTATGTCCTTTTTATTATTTAAATTTTAGTATAAATTAACAACTACTTAATTTTCAGCATGAGGGTGATCAAGCAGATTTGGTCTTTCTGAAAGGTAAATGTGATTTTATTTAATCAAAGTTCTATATTATATTAAAAGAGGTTATTAGTTATGTTCTTTCTGTGTTGATCTTTTCTCACCTGGAAGATCCTGCCCAGTTATTTGTGGGAGGGGATAAGTAGGTATATTAAGTAAAGTTTTAAAAACTAAGTTCTCGGGTTAATACAGGGTCTTGAAACCCTGTATGACAGAAAAGTTATAGAAAAAGCAGTGGCTTAACGTAGAGAATGACCTGAGGGGGAAACACGGTGGACGTGACCTTGAAAGGCCAGCACGAAAGGATAATATTGGAATTTTCCGTTTCCAGGTGGTAGAATTGGGACCAACAGGTGGAAGCAACAAAGGACAGATTTTTATGTTTTTTTTTTTTTCCAATAGAAGCTTAATAGAAGTAGCACTTTGATAGAACTGTATAAATACGGAACGGCCTCTCCTCAAAAGTGATGCATTGGATGATCTCATATGAGAGATTGGATGCATGAACACCGCAAAAAATGGAACAGATGGCCCTCAAGGTCAGTCTATTTCACTCTTCAGACTGTCTTCTAAGAAAAGGAACAAAAAGGCACACGTACAAAACACCTTCCTGAAGGGAGAAGCTGCCTTAATTCAGGTTCTTTTTTTTTTCCCCCTCAAGTATTATACTGCTTTTCTGGAAGAGGACTAACATCTTGTAACTAAAGCAGGACTTCATTTCAAAAGTGATGGGAGAAAATATTAAAAAGAGGTGTAAGGCAGGGGAGAAGAGAGAGGCAGCTGGGAGAAGCATACGGATTTAATCTGGAAAGAACTGGGAGGTCCGGAGCCCTCTGCTTCATATTGGCGATGCTTCACTGCTGTGCCCTCCTTCCCTTCCCTCTGCCTGCTCCTCTCATTGCAACCCCAAGCCCCAGCCAACCCTCCTGAACCTTCTAACCTTAAATGAACATTCTTAGCTGGAAATTCTGAGAGACCTCAGGCAGGCTTTGCTGGCAAAAGGAGGGCGAGAGCCATCTATTCCCTAGCATTGTCCTCCCAGTACATCCATGCAGTAAGCATACAGGGGAAAATGAGGCCAGGACCACTTCTACAGAGGATGCCACACCCCACCCAGTCTTTTTCAACCAGTGGAACCAATATACTGGCACAATATGATACAGATTGTAGGCTGAGCCTGACTGGGCACCTTACTCAAATAGATCCAAATGGTATTCTGGTTCTTTGTGCCCACTAATCTACTCCAAGCTAGGCCTATTGGGTTTTTTCTCCCCAAGTCTGGAATTGGACGTGGAAATGTCAAGCTTGTTCTGCATAGTTAACTAAGATAGCATAGTAGGATACCAATGACAGTTATGCTTTCTGTCATTTGCAGCAAGCTAATCTGTAGTGACAAAGAGAAGTAAGTCACTATTTAGACAGACAAGAAAAAGAAGAGTGTTAGCACTGTCAGTGTGACTCTGCTGTCAGGAATCCTTTAAGCTTAATCACCTCTGAACTCTTCAAATGTTGGTATTTACTGCTGCTGATATATCTGGAAATGTTTCAAAAAATTTTTTTAGTTTCCTTAAATAAGAGTTGGGTTGACTACTTGGAATCAAAAGTCCTAGATTTAGAAATTATACCTCATGGTCCTGATATGTTTATCGTAGGGTTCCTCTGCCATGTCCTTTCATACAAGATTTTTTTCAGTTAATTAAGAGTTAGGAAAAACAAACAAAAAAAGAGTTATGGGCAAAATACAGCCAAGAGGAGCCCTGGTAAGCAAGGACTCAAGCTGGTGAGCTGCTTCTTTAAGATTCGATGATTACTAAAAGTTTGTCTACTACAACACATGATATACAGATCTTCAAAAAAGGAATTATAAATATTTTATGAAAGAGTTAGGGCTTTTTTGTTAGGCTGGTTGGTTTTGCTAAAGAATGGGTGCCTGTGTTCACGTGCAGTGCTCCTTTGGACTTCGTGTGCTTTGAGCTTGCATAGAGAACACACGGCTTTCCAGGCCCACCATCACAGAAGTGCCACCTGCATTATCATGTTTCCTCCTGGTTCTTGAGAAGCACATTGTGGCCTTCAGTTGTCTCACCAGGTGAATGGACAGTGCAATTCTAAGAGTTTACAGATAGCAAAGTGGTCACTCTGTAACTTTTGACTTTACATCAAGCCAACAGGAAATATCTTTGGAGTCACAGGACTTTTTATGAAATTGTAGTATGAATTATATGACAGACCTTATATTTGGTTCTCCAGATCCTCTCTCTCTCTCTCTCTCTCTCTCTCTCTCTCTCTCTCTCTCTCTCCCCCTTCCTTCCTTATTTCATTAAATGTATTTGGTTGTTACAGGGTCTCACCATGAAGTTCGGACTCATAGTGATCCTCTTGCTTTCAGCCTCACTAGTACTGGGATTACAGACATGTGTCACTATGTCCAGACTCTGGCTGACTCAGCCTGCTCTGGGGCAGGGCTGGCATGGCACATGGTGCCGGGGAAGGAAGCGTGGTCCCTGCACTTGCCTAAGCTTGCCTAAACAGGCGCTTTAGTCCACTGAGCTATCTCCCTGGCCCAAGATTTATTATTTCTGAAAGGTCAGAGTTAGATTTTAGACTACCTTTTTTTTTTTTTTTTTTTGATCCGGGGATTGAACTCAGGCCCTTGTGCTTGCCAGGGAAACACTTATTCCACTGAGCCATCTCCCCAGCCTCCCTAAACTACCTTGTATAGGAAAATATCAACATGAATATTTATGGGTTTTTGCTAATATTACAATCAGGTAAAAATGTGTTGAATGATTTCTTTGTGTTAACTGCTATAATACTAAATATATGTAGTATGTACACATATCAATTAATGTCATTCAAATTTTATAGCAATTCTTTAAATTAGGTACAAGGTGTGATAAAAATATAACAAATGTTAAAATAAAAATGTATTACAGTGAAAGTCACGTTGCCATTCATCCCCTTCAAAATACTCTCCCTCACTTGGAACACCCTTAGTCCACCATTCTTGCCACTTCCTGAAGCTCTTCTTCTTCTTCTTCTTCTTCTTCTTCTTCTTCTTCTTCTTCTTCTTCTTCTTCTTCTTCTTCTTCTTCTTCTTCT